TATGTGCATGTACTGAAAATTCCACGGACATGGGAAGAAATGGAGACAAAAGAAAACCAGAAGACAATGTATAAATGTAAGGTCTCCACATTATTCAGGATAAGAAAACTACTTTCTACTAAATTATAATGTCCTCTATCACACGATGTCTCGGAATTGAGTCAAGCAATGAAACAAGGCACATCTAGGCCAGCAGGAGGTATACTATACATTCTTCTCTCTCATACTGCTTTCTCCAACATTTCTCTTTTAATCCACCAGGCTTCCGACATTAAAAGAGTGCAGCCATACAAGCTTACTAGCTTCAGCAAAGGGATGACCAGTGGTAGAGGGCACTTAAAAGGGTTCATACAGGTAAGTCCAGTACGAGGAAAGTCAAACATAAATTTTAATAAGAAATAAGAAGGTCTAAACAAAGTCTAATAGTAAACAGAACAGCCTGTTTCGCTTCACATAATCCACATTCCTTCCTCTTAATGGAGCACATCGTACTTTAAGTTCAAATATACATTTTTCTAGTTTGGAGATTAGTAACAGAGGACCAGTAAAGGAGTTGGAGCTGTATTAAAAAACAAACAAACAAACAAAAAAACCCAGGTCTCAACAGAAAAGGTTCGTTTGAGATCAACTTGGTAGGAAGGCCTGGCATTAAAGCTGTTTGTTGGAAGCTTGAAAGATTCCCTGGGCTTTCTTCGACTTTTTTTTTTTTTTTTTTTTTTTTTTTTTACACCGTGTAAGAATAAATACAGGAGATTTTACTGTTTTTTTGTTGCTGTACAGCTAAGTTAATTGAGTAAAAATGTCCTAATTACTTGTTGGTCCTCCTTCACCTCCAAGCTTAAAACTTAGACGTTTATATAATGCCTAGAGGCTCAAGAAGTGTCCACATATGTATTACATCTGAATGTTCTATTTCTTGACCTCAGGGGTAATTGTGTGTCTACTTCTGTATGTGATGTATTTATCAATAACAGTTTTAAAAATGTTTATAGGGAAAATATTTGTCATGCATTAACACTGATACAGGTGAGAGCTGGATAAACTGTACTATTACTCTACTACAAAGTACATAAAGCAATAGAAAAGACAGCAAAAATCTGTCCAATGGTTACTCAAAAGACCCAGAAGGCCATGAGGCAGAGTAGATCAACAGAGCGACCCTGGTTTTCTAGTTGAGTCTAAATCAATTAGAAGTTATATTTTCAAAAAGCAAAAATTTTGATAGATTTTCTGAACAGCCTTCTTTGAATTTAGGAATTTTGTTTTTGGATAAAAATACTTTGTTACATAAATTTTTCTGAACTTCACATAGGCAGCTGTGTTGCTTGTGAACATCTTTAAGAGGATATGATTTAGGTGATAAGAAGTGGGGCATGGTGAAGTTTTCAGCTTACCTTACGTATTTCTGCACTGTTTAAATTTTTTCCCAATGAACATGTACTTTTAGTAATTAAAGAAAAAAACATAATTAGAGTTGTAGGAGTTGGGAGTATATAACAAAAAAAAGAATACATTATTAAAAATGTCTCTCAAGGTGAACAACAAGATCAATCCTCCATAACAAAACAAATTACTCAGGAAAAGTAACATTCATTTAAAATATATTCACATTTTCTGCTGAAATTATAATCCCAGAAAAAGTATTAAGCTAAGCAGGGAAAAGCCAACCATCGTTTGAAAACTCTTTGGAGTTGGTGGGGCTTTACTTTATTTATGCAATTTCTAATATATCTTAAAACTACTCTTCAGCTCCTTTCTGGTTTTCTCTCAAATACATTAACATAGTGGTTCTCAATGTGCGGTCCCAGACCAACAGCATCAGCACACTTGTGAAATTGAAAACTCACAGGCTCTATTCCACATCTACTGAATCAAGAACTCTGGCTTGGATATTCATTTGCAGAAGAATGAAACGGGACTATTTCTCATTGTATACAAAAATCAAGTCAAGATGGATTAAAGACTTAAACATAAGATCTGAAACTACAAAGCTACTGGAAGAAAACACAAGGAAAACACTTTCAGACACTGGTCTAGGCAAAGATTTTATAGCTAAAACCTTAAAAGCGCAGGCAATAAAAACAAAAAAGACTTCAGAAGGACTATTTTAAATGAATATGCTTCTGCGTGACAAAGGAAACAAGAGTGAACAGAAAACACACTGAAGGGGAGAAAACATCTGCAAACTATTCATCTAACAAGGGGCTACTATCCAGAATATACAAGAAGCTCAAACAACTCAACTACAAACAAGTAAACAAAAAAGCCACAAAATAATCCCATTAAAAAGTAGGCAAAAGACATGAATAGACATATCTCAAAGGAAGACATACAAATGGCCCAGAGGTATATGAAAAACATTCAACATCACTAATCACTAATTGCATTTGAAATGAAAATGAAAACCACAATGAGATACCATCTTAGCACAGTTGGAATGGCTATTATTAAAAAGACAAAAAATGACAGATGATGGTGAAGATGCAGAGAAAGGGGAACTCATATACTGTTGGTGGGAATATAAGTTAGTACAGGGATTTCTCAAAAAACTAAAATTAGAACTATCATCTGACCCAGCAATCCCACTACTGGGCATTTATTCAAAGGAAAAGAAACCAGTATGGATACCTGCACTCCCATGTTTACTACAGCACTATTCACAATAGCAAAGATCAGGAATCAACCTAAGTGTTCATCAACTGACAAATAGATAAACAAAACTGTGGTATACGTACACAGTGGACTATTATTGGGCCATAAAAAAGAATGAAGTATTGTCACTTGCAGGAACAAAGATGGAACTAGAGATCATTATGTTAAGTGAAATAAGCCAGGCACAAAAAGGCGACTATGACATGTTCTTACTCATATTCCGGAGCTAACAAAAAGTTGATCTCATGAAGGTAGAGAACAGAATGATAGATACTAGAGGCTAGGAAGGTTGTTTGTGTATGCAGAGAAGAAGATGAAAAGAGGCTGGCTAATGGGTACAAAAATCTTGTTAGATAAAAGGAATAAGTTCTAATGTTCAATAGCAAAGTAGAATAGCTATAGTTAACAACAATATATTGTATATTTCAAAAAAGCTAGAAGAGAGGCCTTGAAATGTTCCCAACACATAGAAATGATAAACAATTGAGGTGATACCCCAATACCCTGAGACCTGATCATTACATATTCTATGCATGTAACAACATCACACGTATCACATAAATATGTATAAATATTATCAATAATACTTTTTTAAAAAAGAAAAAAACTATGGGAGGGGTAGAAGGAGTCAGAGGCAGCAAACTGTGTTTTTATAAGGCTACCATTTGATTCTGAGTTTGAGAACCACTCTATTATGGTATAATAAACAGTATTGCATTTTATTATAATTATTTTCATTTCACAATATAAACTTGATAATTATCATTTGGTTTAAATACTCCCAGATAACATGTTCCAGGCTAATTTCATATGGATTGCATTTTTTAATAATTAAAAAACACAAATTTGGGGGAAAAGGAAGGACATGAACATGAAAGATATAATGCTTAAGAAAAAATTTTAAATACATATTTGTGGTTCAGGTAACTAGTAACAAACCAACGAGCATGGTCACTTACTATAATGCCTAACATTCTGCAGAGGGCTACACAAGTACAAATTCATGCTAATGAAGAGAAAACATTACATTACTTCCATGACTTCAATTACTATCTACATTAAAGATTCTCAATCGAGGGTACTAACATCTCCTAGGGATTCTCTCAACTTCCACAAGGTCTTATTCTTCCCCACCCACCTATCTCCCAAAATCATGGCCCAACTGGTTATTGTTACTGTAAAGGGTGTATCATACACTTCCAGTGTACTGGATAAATGAAAGTTTAAGAATTATTGGTCTTTACCGTAAGACCTCTCTCCTGAATTTCTGCATGCTATATATTTCCAATTGGAGATCTAATAAGAACCTCAGATTCAATCTGTCTAAAACTCAGCTCATCATTTTGCCTCATTCCTTTTCTTTCCTTAGCTTAGTGAATACAGCACAAAACTGCCTAAGCCAAAAACCTAACATCTTTGACTTCTCCCTCCCCTGCTACCCCTCAACCAATCACTAAGGCAGTTCATTTTACTTTCAAAGTACCTCTTGATCCATCTATCCTTTTTGCCAGTATCCTGGCCCAGGCCTCCAGAATCTCTTCCCTGGATTAGTAATTCAGATTCATACTCAACTAATTCTGGCTCCAGTTTTATTGTTCCTTCCAGAGAAAGGGAACTTTCTAAAGGGTAAATCTAATCATTTCACTCTACTGCTTAAAATCCTTCAATCAAGATAAAGCATGTAACTACAAAGGTTTCATCACCTGATCTCTGTTTCAGGCTTTAAATCGCATGCCATCATTCATGACTCCAGCCATACTGAATTGTAGTTCCTGAAAAGCAGTATCTTCTCTTCTGTTAAACCCTCTGACACGGTGTTAGCTCTTTTCTCTGGGCTAACTTCTATTTATTCTTCATGATCCAGTTTTGACGTCACTTTTTTTCATAAAACCATCTCTCACCTCCACATATGTTATACTCAGTAGCATCTCTAAGTACAGTACTTATCATCATACTGTGCAGTAATCATGTATCTCCTCCTTTAAATTTCAAGCTCTACGTAGAATAAGAACTATGTCTATTTTTTCATATTACAATCCTAGCACCAAACAGCAATACACCATGAAACTGAAAGCATGAGTTCTAGTCAGAGAGGCTCAAAAATTGTTACAAGCTGTCAAAATTTGGGACAGTTACTTAAACTCTAAGATTCCTTACCTGTAAAGTATAGCTAATACCACCTTTCAAGGCTATTCATGGATTAAATATATATAATATGTGAAACATTTGGCACAATGCTTGATACACAGAAATGTTAGCTATTATTACTTAGTACGCATCAAAGAAAATATCTGCTAAATGAATACACTATTCACAAATTATTAAAAACATATTTTAATAATGCTAACCTCATATAATTCATTGTATTTCCAAGTATATACTTCTATAAGGAGGTTTCAGTTTTAATCATGTCCATGGCACCAAAGTTTCTTATAGACAATATTTACTTGAGTTATAAAGCAGAATGTTCAAAAAGAATGACCTGTGCCTCATTTTCAGGAACAATCTGTTTATGAAGTCGAATCTGCTCCAAGCCAGGACTTTCTAGAAAATTTGGATTACTGTTACAAATTGAGGCAGTTACATTATACCTTGCTGACTGATAAAAGCTGTAGTATTCAAGTCTATTTTCCCTTGAGTTTTCTAGTGCCTTTAGTTTTTGTTTAAATTGAACAACTTTGTAGATCAAAAAAATGATTAAAACACAAGCTAAGATGAAAAAAGCCAGCAAAATGTCAAAAGCCTCATTCAACTTCTCAACTTCTTGTGTACAAATCAGAGATGTTTTCCCTGACATTGAAGCAGCATCAATCGGTAGAGCACTGTTTTTTTCCAAGTTCAAGGTAACAGAAGTAGTAAGCTGTATCTGCACAGGTAACACTGCTGTAGTCTCTAATGGATTACCAAAGGCATTCTCTTGAAAAAATCTACCGGCAGGTGAAGTAGATTTTCGTTCCCAGAAAGTAATGCTCTCAGTCTCAGTATTTTCCAGAGGATTGCCACTGGTGGTTACTTTAGGCCAGGCCATCATTAGTGCAGTAGTCTTGTGATGAATGTGAGGAGATTTTACAACAACCCAAGCTCTGGATACATTTGTTGAAGACGTAACACAATTTGTAATGTTAATATAACGTAATGCTCTGCCACGCATGGATGGGGGATTCTGACAATAGATGTTTAGGGTAATGGCTGAAGATGTTAGCCAGTCTCGAAGGCCCGCAAGTTTGCAGTTACATTCCCAAGGATTAGAATTTGCCTGAAGATGAATCAATGAAGACAATGGCTTAAGGACCCTTGGATGCAAGTCTGTAAGATTATTAAATGACAGATTAAGGATCTTCAAAGATGCTCCCATGTTTTCAAATGTATCATTATCAATGCTAACTATTCTGTTTCTATCTAACTTAAGGTAAATTAAATTCTTTAACAAACTAAATGTGTCAGAATTTAAATTCTCTAAATCATTATGACTTAAGATCAAATGTTTAAGATTATTAATTCCACTAAATCCATCCCTAGTAATATTTCTAATTCTTGAATTTTTCAGAAGGAGATATTCCAAGTTGACAAGTCCTTTAAATGCAAAGGGCTGTATTACTTCAATGGGATTATGAGACAAAGAAAGTCTTCTAAGACTTTTAAGTACTTCAAAGGCATTTGATGGTACTTTTGTTAAAGTATTACTTTCTAGATACAAACAAGCAAGGTTTCCAAGATGCTGAAACCCTGAGTCTGATATTCTCAAAATGTTATTGTTTGATAAGTCAAGTATCCGAAGAGCAACCATACCAACAAAGGTACCACTTCCAAGAACAGTGAGGCGATTCCTTTGTAGATTTAAGTACTGAACTGAAACTAGATCATTAAATACTCCTCTTGGAACAAAAGATACCTGATTAGACTGTAAATATAAATTACGAAGATTTACCAGTCCCTTAAATATTCCAGGATCTAAGCGTTTGATAAAATTATTATTTAGAAATAGAAAATATAGATGCCTCAATTGAACAAAGGCTTTTGGATATACATACAGAATGTTAGAATTATCCAAATACAGTGCTACAAGAGAATGAAGTCCTGTTAGTTCACTTTCATTTATATAAGATATATTATTTCCAGTCAGATACAGAAAAACTGTACTTTCAGGAAAATTCTGAGGAATACTCGAAAGGCCTAGGTTACGGCAGTTAATTTGTCTCCCAGTGCAGAGCTGACAAACAGACGAACATCCAAGTATTTCTTTGTGAAGTAATAATAAAATATAACAGGTAACAAGCAGAAACAGTCGTAGGCAAAGCAGAGAAAACTGTAATCCATACATATCCCTGTTCTTGGTTTTTCTGTTCAGATCAGAATTGGCTATAAAAAGAGAAGGTAAAGCTTAAATCATCAAAACTTCATCAAATGAACGCTTTTTTTAATACTATAACTTCTGTATTGTGTTAATTAGGATCAGCCAATAATACTATCATAAATCATACTATGGTAATAGCATTAAATGAGTATGGAATACATTCTAGAATTATTAACATGATCAGGCCATTAACCCATTATTTGACAAAATAGTTCAGATTAATGAAACATTTGCTAAGTTAACTTAAAAATTACAATTGATTACAACATAGGTGACAAATGATACAAGAATGAGAATCTATGAATTTAATATGTCCCTTTAACAACACAGCCTAATATCAAACATTATAATTTATAAAAATACAAATTCACTACAGAACAATTAAACTCTAAATTACAGTTTTTCACAAAACTATTTTTCATGTCAGCTATAAGTTCATACTTAAGTAAATAATCTTACCAGAAACAGGAAATTCATATTATTAACGCTCAGCTGATTCAGTAAAGGTTTTCTTTCTAAATCTGAAGAACGACATTTCCAAACTCCATTTTGTTCTGTGGCACTGCTGACCTCCACCCCACCACCTTTTTTTAAAGTCACAGTTTGCTCAGGAAACACCACTCTTCACATTGGTTCCTTTAGAGTCAATGTGTAAAACAGAGGTTGCCATGGATACAGGAAGCTGAGCGACAGGAAGTAATTTTATCTGTGTTTCAAAAGTATTACTGAACGGAAATCTCGGGAACTTATTTTTTCTGAATGCAGTTAGAGTTTTCCTAACATACACATCGAAACATCTCCTATAATTTAAAAATCATAGTTTTTACAGAATACCTGAAACCCTTAGTTATTCAGAACCTAAACATAAACAACAGACTCTAGCTATCAACAACATAGCTATTAAATGGAAAAGACTAGTTGAAATAAGATGCATAGAGAGTAAGATAATTTTTGTAGGCTTTATAACGAATAAAATATTTACATTGTTTTAAATACATATTGAAGACTTCAACTTTATGCTTTATTCCTTTAATAAAAATAGGAAAAAACAATTTAGAATGGTGAACACAAATGTTGTTATATTATCCTCTAGTGCTCTTTTTAAAATTTTCAAAATATTTTTGGTGGCAAAAACTACTGGGTACTACTTAACATGTTAAGGTACTAACTAGTAGTTAAGGTATTAATTAGTATTAAGGCACTAATTGGTTGCCATGGGTTATAAGACGGTAATAAGCTGCATACCAAATTACTGACATAGGTTATCTTTGCAAGAAAAGTTGGGGAGACTGAAAGTGGCGATGTTTTTGCCCTATATATATCTGAATTAGTTTGAATCTTTTAGAACAAAAATGGGGAATTTTAATGTAATTTAAGAATTTAAAGAATTGAATATAAATTATTTATATTATATATTGTTCAGTCATTAACTTTCCAAAAGGCTAGTTGCTTAAGCTTTCTAATTCTTTCATTAATATTACTAATACCCTGATAATATTCCTAAAATATCAATAGTTATATAATTGTATAGAACTTTTCTTTGATGTTAAAGCAGTTTTATTTCACATCAAGACAACAATTACTTTACATAATAATTATGTCCACACTAGATACCTGAAATAATATCTAGCACTATCTTTCTATGACTAAAAATTCAGAAATGCATACTGAATAGCAGATCTTTATCAAAATGATTTATGGTTCTTATAACTATCCTTTATGGCTGGCTATTGTTACTGCTATTTTATGCATTAAAAACCAGAAAACAAAACAAATGACAAAAATGACATGAACTTGAGGTAGGGCTAGGTTTCTCAGGTCCACTTGGTTTAGTACTTCCAATAACATACAAAGTGATATGAGGCTTGTCCCACGGATTTTTCAATTGCATAATATAACTTAAAGAGTTAGGAAAAAGTCAGAGAAAGGGTCTTTTGAAATAAAAATTAATTTAAAGGGAAAAAACCCACACAGTAATATAACCAGAGTATTAATTTTGTTCTCTATGGCAAAAATAGCTAACACAGTCAAAGAATACTTATTAGTTCTCCCATTCTGTAGGCTGCCTGTTCACTCTGTTGATAGTTTCTTTTGCTGTGCAGAAGCTCTTTAGTTTAATTAGATCCCACTTGTCAATTTTGGCTTTTTTGCCATTGCTTTTCGTGTTTTAGTCATGAAGTCTTTGCCTATATCTATGACCTGAATGGTATTGCCTAGGTTTTCTTCTAAGGTTTTTATGGTTTTAGGTCTTACTTTTAACTCTTTGATCCATCTTGAGTTTATTTTTGTATAAGGTGTAAGGAAGTGGTCCAGTTTCAGTTTTTTGCATACAGCTAGTCAGTTTTCCCAACACCATTTATTCAGTAGGGAATCCTTTCCCCATTGTTTTTGTCAGGTTTGTCGAAGATCAGATGGTTGTAGATGTGTGGTGTTATTTCTGAGGCCTCTGTTCTCTTCCACTGACCTCTATATCAGTTTTGGTACCAGTACCACAATATTTTTGTTACTGTAGCCTTGTAGTATAGTTTGGAGTCAGGTAGCATGATGCCTCCAGCTCTGTTCTTTTTGCTTAGGATTGTCTTGGCTACGTGGGCTCTTTTTTGGTTCCATATGAAATTGAAAGTAGTTTTTATCTAAGTCTGTCAAGAAAGTCAATGGATAGCAGTGAATCTATAAATTACTTTGGGCAGTATGGCCATTTTCACGATATTGATTCTTCCTAACTATGAGCATGGAATGTTTTTCCATTTGTTTGTGACCACTCTTACTTCCTTGAGCAGTAGTTTGTAGTTCTCCTTGAAGAGGTTCTTCACATCCCTTGTAAGTTGTATTCCTAGGTATTTAATTCTCTTTGTAGCAATTGTGAATGGGAGTTTACTCATGATATGGCTCTGTTGGTCTGTTATTGGTGTCTAGGAATACTTGTGATTTCTGCACAATGATTTTGATTCCTGAGACTTTGCTGAAGTTACTTACCAGCTTAAAAAGATTTTGGGCTGAGACGTTCTTATATAATTTGCATTAGGAGGTTTTTCTTAACAAATGGAACTTGAGAAAATGGAACTTAAAAAATTAACTATATGCAGTGACCAAACTTCATAACAAGCTATGGAAGAATGTGAAAACCCTGGCACGGTGGCATACACCTGTGATATCAGCACTTTGCAAGATTGAGGCAGGAGGATAACCTGAGCCTAGGAGCTCAAGATGAACCTGGGCAACATAGTGAAACCCCATCTTTACAAAAAACATAAACAATTAGTTGGGTATGGTGGTGCGTGCTTGTAGTCCCAGCTGCTGGGGAAGCTGAGGTGAAGGAATCACCTGAAGCTGGGATGTCGAGGCTGCAGTGAGCCATGATTGGGCCACCATACTCCATCCTGAATAACAGAGTGAGAACCTGTCTCAAAAAATTAACAAATAATCAAAAAAAAATACACAATCATTGTGTACTATAAAATCAAGATTATTATAGTTTAAAGGTACTGTGCACTGTGACTAAGGTACCACTGGAATTTTAGAGCTGTAAACACCAAATAATACTTCCAATGTATTTTCTATGTCATCTCTTCCAGATAAGTATCTATAATGTAGTGGAGAACCTCAATAAATACTTTCTTAATAAATGCACTTGATTTCTAGAGAGAAGACAGAAAGAATGATTTGTTGTCCCTTTTATGAACAACTTAAATAAAACGAGAGATGTAATTTTAAGTGGCTGGAAGAAGTACCTTACTTTAATAATGAAATTATCTAGGATTATGATCTCATTTTTTGATCAGACTAATAAAAATGACTCAGAAATAGTAAAACAATAGACAAAATAGCATTACTTGAGGTACTCAATAACCTGGCAGAATAGACATTAAGAGTAAGATGGGGGCCGGGCGCGGTGGCTCAAGCCTGTAATCCCAGCACTTTGGGAGGCCAAGGCGGGTGGATCACGAGGTCAAGAGATCGAGACCATCCTGGTCAATATGGTGAAACCCCGTCTCTACTAAAAATACAAAAAAAAATTAGCTGGGCATGGTGGTGCGTGCCTGTAATCCCAGCTGCTCAGGAGGCTGAGGCAGGAGAATTGCCTGAACCCAGGAGGCGGAGGTTGCGGTGAGCCGAGATCGCGCCATTGCACTCCAGCCTGGGTAACATGAGTGAAACTCCGTCTCAAAAAAAAAAAAAAAAAAAAAGAGTAAGATGGACTGGATTTGAATTTCAGTTTGGTAGTTGACTTTGTGTGGGTAATTAGGCTTTACTAGTCTTGATTATACATTTAAAGGTTTAATAAGGCCAGACACAATGGCTCACGCCTGTAATCCCTGCATTTTGGGAGGCTGAGGTGGGTGGGTCACCCGAGGTCAGGATTTCAAGACCAACCTGGCCAACACGGTGAAACCTTCTCTCTACTAAAAAAACAAAAATTAGCCGGGCGTGGTAGTGTGCGCCTGTGATCCCAGCTACTGGGGATGCTGACGCAGGAGAATAACTTGAACCCGGGAGGTGGAGATTGTAGTGAGCCGAGATTGTGTCACTGTACTCCAGCCTGGACGACAGAGCGAGAAGGTCTCCAAAAAAAAAAAAAAAAAGGTTAATAATGTCCATCCCCCTAGGGCTGTTGGAAGAATCCACTGAAATGTGTATGAAAAACATATTGTATAAAGGCTATCACAAATTATGTGTTCTGTTAGTTATTATTTACTTCTTATTATCACCTTCTTCACACATAAACTAGATGAATGTGGGAAAGCTTCCAAAGAAAGCTTTCTACCTACTAAATAACTGGTACCATCACACAGTTAGTCAAAATGATTAATAGTAGAAACAATTATTTACCGAGAGGTCATGTTCATTAAGCATTTTAGAGGGCATTATTATATATACATTCTCCAATTCATCATAATAAGCCCTAGGTGCTAGCTGTTAACACTGCTTTCATTTGAAACATGAGAAAACAAAATGAGAGAAAACTGGTCCAATGTCACATGAACTCTACGCAGAACATGCATCTGAAGCTAAATCTAGCTTATCTCTCCATCATAATGTTTTTTTTTCTCTCTGGGACTCTGGATAGAATGAAAGCAGAAACTCAAGGAAAAGAATCTCCAAAATAAATAAATAAATAAACAAAAAAGATATTCCTCAGGCTATGAAGGAATCACTTGTGACAAACACATGCATCATCTACATGGGGAAAAACTAGAAAGCTCAGGAGACTCTCATCATTTTCCTCCTGAGTACTTTTTCTATTGTCATCCTTGTGGGAGATAGCTACTCTGTGTACAATTACTTTTCTGTATCATTTCAACTACTTTGAGGATCTGAACCCAATACAGCATTCTCACTGATTAACATCTCCTATTCTCATTGTAAAGCAGTTTGAGGTCCTGAAACATCAAAATAATCTCATTTGATCATAGTGTAGTTTTCTCTGGTGATATATTTGAAAGAAGCTTCTCATACAATGGTCAGTGATTAATTAAGGGCACCCAGTGTCTATAATATGACTGCTACATATGAAAACAGTTTGCCAGAAGGCTTTATCTAATTTGCAGACAGGGCACCATTCCTAGATATGAGGAAAGCATTGAGAACGTAGTCCCAAATTCACAAGCATTCAGAAACTCTCCTAAGAAGTCAGGACAGGAGACAGAAGACACAAATTGTTGTTCTAAGATGCCAGAGTATAATAAATAATAATCTATCCTAAAGGTGAAATACAATGTGTCCTCAGTACACAGCATGGTGACCTAGCACATAACAGCATCTTTAAAACATTGCTGTTGTATTAGTTAGTGTCCTAAAGTTGATATCAGAAGAAAAAGTGAGTATTTTAATTCTAATGTATGTTTCAAGAGTAAATTTGTATTAAAAACGAAAACCAAAATAGACTATTCCCATTCAAATCCTAATGTAGGAAGATAGAAATACTTCAAAAAGTGTGGCACTTTGGGGGAGGAGGAAGTGTGAGGAGAGGAATATCTGGTTTTCAAAGAACTTTCAGAAGCTTAAAAAAAGTTTTATAAATGATTATAACCTTTCAATTAAAAGTTGGCAAGCCAAGGAATTAATCATTTACCTTCTTTCTCAATGAAACTGCTTTGTATACAGATGAAAGGAGTGAGCATCCAATTGTAATATCAACTGTTCTTTCTAACACTTGTCTATACCCTTCAGCTTCTGCTGGATTAAAGCTAATAAAATTCAGCTTATAATTATTAGCCAATTCAAAAATAGATACCTCACTCAAATTATGCTGGAAAACCAGTCCCCAAACTCACAAAAGCCAAAGATACATATGCATAGCTTATACCAAAAACAAAAACATTAAAAGCAGCATGAAAGAGTTTTTTTGTCCCAGTAGAACTGAAATAATGAGAACCAATAATTACTACAAATTACATTAGATTATACACAAAAAGGAAAACATGTATAATGTAAAGATTATTCTTTTGAACTTCTAAGGATATATAGCCCCTTTGTAAACCATATATTCAAAGAGTGGTTATAGGGAGCAGAATTTCAGCATCCGAGGTCCTGAAACTTCAAAGTAGTCTTATTCATATCTCTATTGTCCTCACATAAAAATGCAAGAAAGGGAATTAGACACCATTCAATATACCCAATGAAGACTGTTCCTTTTACAGTCAACTCTGGCAAAATAAAAATTGTAAAGAACTCTCCCCTTGTTACTTCACTGACCTTTTCCACAAATGACTATATAATCAGATAACATGAACTAAGTTAGAAATCAGCTCAGACTGTATTTTGAATAAAAACATCAACAATAAAAGCAACTACTCAGAGATGAGGCAGAGCAATATGGCAAAACAGAAGCCTCCAATGACCATTTCCTTGTATCACTCCACTGGAGCATCAATTAGCAGAATAATTTTCAGAATTATCCAAACAAGAAAATAGCTTCACAAGAGCTAAAAAACCAGGTGAGAGATCACAGTACCTGGTAAATAAGAAAGGGCACACTGAAAGGAGCAGAAAGAAGAGTCTTTCATTGCCTACACCATTCCTACACCAACCCCAGGCAGCACAGGGCAGAGAGAGAAGCTGT